TGAACCTCATCCCCTTGGAATCAGGCAGGTACACACTGTAAAATGAATTATCTGCATCAAATGGAAAGGCTGGAAGTGAAATCAGGACACTGATTAATTTTCACCTTTCTGAACCAAACTATCTCCAGTGTGATTAACTCAGTAAGGCCAGAAGCTGCCAGGGTTTACAGGGCTGAAGATAAGATTAGGATTTAGACTAAGAGCAGGGGATAGTCCAGATGCAAGTTCACAAGGAAAACCCTTCTGGGCAGGGAAAGGCTCCTCTGCATCCTCAACACTTTGCCTTTTCTCCAGCACAAACCTCCCTCCAGGTTCGGAGCCATCAGGAGGGATGTGCAGTGCCTGGGCTGACACAACATCATCCTTTTTACATTTCCATGACTCTACTGACACCAGTTTTCCCTTTTACCAAGGTTGCTCCTATTTTGTTTGAACAAGTTACAATGCATTTCTAAGTCCACAGCAAGAAAGAAAGATGAAGCCCATCAGAGATGCAGATGTACAAGACTGTAATTGAACATATTTTTCCTTGCTGCACCTTCTGCCTCTGAGTTTCTGCTCTGGAACCTCTGTTACAAATAAAGGCATCCACTGGAGAGCACAGCAAAGGTTTTCCTACAGGAAAATCTGCTTATGTGCCAAGCCAGGTTGCATGAAAATTTTCTATCTCACAGGTGAGTCTGTCTAAAAAAATCAATTGAAAACTCATCTCAGTAGATTCAAGGCTTATCTTGGGCAGGACAGAAGGTCCTGATACAAATAAAGGGTTTATTACCATGGAAAGGAGAACTGGTCATGAACTCATCAAAGGAGGAGGCAACTGTAATACAGACACCCTCTCCCTGTGTGCACTGTTTTCTTTAAAAGCAGCGGAATTTGATATAGGTTTTGGCTGAACCACACTACAAATATTCCCTAAATCAGATCTGCTGTGATGGCAGTTCATCCCCACAGTGCTGTGTGAGGATCTTTTTTAACATTAACATTTGAATCCAGAGCTTGGCAAAGCAAAGACTGGGGAAAACAAAAAACCACCCTGACCTGCAGGCTGTGACATTCTTGGGGCAGCAGCAGGTTGCTGGGGCTTTTCTCTCTGTTTGGGTTGGTTTGGGGTTTTTTAGACATCCTTTAGAAGGGCCAACACTCTGCCAGGTGCTGTGAGCCTGGCAGCACCAGGACTGGGCAGCAGAGCTGGGCTCAGGACATGTCAATACTGTAAAGCTCCTCTGCAATAAGCAGACCTGGGGATGAACCCTGTGGAAGAAGCTCAGCCTGGAGCTCAGGCTCCTCCATGACTTTCAACCCTGAAATCCCTGGTTTTCCAAGGTGTCAGGATGATGCAGGTATTCTTACCAAAAAGCAGCTTTATGCATTTCCTTCTTTGCCAAACTCAAACCAAAAACCTTCTACAACCATGAAGATCTTTCCAATTCCAAGTGGACCGAGGCTCTCTACACAGTGTCCACCAAAATACTTCAGACCTTCCAGGTGGATTTGAGCAGCTGTTTGAAAGGCCAGGAGGCTGCTGACTCAACCCAAACCCAGCAGATAAGGACAAACAACTCGAGCAGCCTCGCTCAGAGCTTTGTGTGCTGGGGCCGCAGCGGTTCAGAGCTGGCACCAGGTCCCCTGAAGCCACAGCTGCAGACAGGAGCT